ACTCAGAATGGTTTTAGCCCAAGATTTACAGCCCCACCCCCAGATGCTCGGCCTGCAGTCTGCTCACCGTGCAGTTGGATGTATTAATTTATCTTATTAATTATGTGCTTCCCCTCCCCCATGTCAGCATCCTTGTGCGCTGCTGCTGCCAGTTAACCTGTGATCTCAATTTTCTCGTATCAAAGTGGGTAATGATCCCTGCTGAGCATGTCCAGTGGAACTAAATGTTCTCCCTGCAAAACATCACTGGTAATAACCTTACACATGTCACACCCTCTCCTGATAGTCCTAGTAGAATTTAGGGGACAGGGGACAGTTCTAGTCTGGGAGCATTTTTATCTCACTGGATTTGGTACTTAAGAATAACCAGCACATTTTGCAGGTTTTCCACATAAATCAGTTAGGTTATGAGGATGGCTGAGATCTAAGATCAACTAGACACATCTTAACTAGGTGGCCTGCGTGTTCTGGGACCGCTAGCCTGGCTCTGATGTATGGCACTTCGCTTCTGTGCCACAGCACCGGGAAAGACGAATGGCAGTGAAGAATAGACCTGATTCCTGTCCTCTGGATACTGTCGTTCCATCTGTAAAGACAAGTCCAAAGCTTCATGTTCTGCCCATGCTGCCTAGTGAAGACTGAAGACAGCCTTGATCCACAATGGCTGCCTCTATAGGTGTTTAGAGTGTTAGCCGTTAGAAGGCATGGGCCATGTACTGGATGTCAGTTCTCAGTCTTATGTGCATCAATTTCTCAAGAGCTTATTTTAAACTCAGATTTCTTTCTCCCCCTTGTACATGTACCTGATTGATTTGGTCAAGGATGAATGAGGAGTTTTCATTTCTGCTAAATACCTTGCGTAGTTTCTGCTGCACAGGTCCAGGATCTACATTGAGGGAGCTCTATCTACACTACAGCTTTTCAGTTATGATTAGGCTCTTGAAGGGGTCTTGGATATTTGTTCCCCAAGTCAGGTGACACTTACTTCACAGTGTAGAACAGAGTGGCAGCAGCTCTAGCCCAACAGCAAGCAGGACCTTTGAGCAGGAACTAGTTAAGTCCCTCCTGCAGGGACAGATAGCCATCTTTGCATTTAGCTGGGGTCCAGATGGCTGGGGTCCAGCTTTTAGCAAGTCTCCAATACATCCTCTGGGAGAAAGCTGGCAAAAAGAACAGGGATAACGCTATATGTCATGGTCCTAATAACACTTATTAATGAGCATTGAGCTTTGGAGAGTTTGTTTACATGATCTCAGGATCAGGATCAAGCAGTATTTTGGATTTAGTACCTAAAACTTGATTGGCGAAGAGTTTAAAAGAGACCTCCGTACGTTGAGGATATGATCCTCATTCTTCCTTACCATTGCTAGGCTCTACTATTCCAACTGGACAGCGGAGGATTTAGAGCAGAGCAAGGGGCATGTGAATTTTTTAGTCCTAGCGCATGCGTTGAATAAATGTTCGTTGAAAAAAAAAAATGAAGGCGGTATTAAAGTGCATAAGGACAGATGTGTTTCCGGTTCTTTGGGCCAAAGAACGTGTAATGAGGTAGCTTAGTCTCCAGTTAGTAATGCTGTCACATGGGTTGCAGTGCAGAAAGTCAGTGGTTTGTGATGGGTTTCCCCCTTTTTTTTTTTAAAACATTTTATTGGGGGATCGGGGGAGGGGAACAGACAAGTTGCTGTCCTTTTGTTCTTCAGTCTAGTAGTGGAGGACACCGCTTCACTGGCCCATGTTGGTATTATGATCATTGTGCTCTTCACGGCTGAGCCAGTCGGTTGCCGGCCATTGGACGGCTGCTCATGGCAGCTCTCACCTGCCGTTCACGCTGGCTGCCGGCTGCTCATGGTAGCTCATGGCAGCCCCGCTGCAGCCTATGCCGTCGCCGGCCACTCAAGGCAGCCTAGCTCCGGGATGAGCTGTTGTTCAGCATCTTAGCTGTAGAGGGCACAGCGTCACTGGCCCATGTGGGATCCGAACCGGCGGCCCTGCTGCTCAGAGCTCGCACCCCCAAGCCAACTCTTAACCAATTGATCCACTCAGCCGGCCCCTCCCCCCTTTAATTTTTTTTTTTTTAAAGTTTTTTTTTTTTTATTGGGGAATTGGGGGGATGGGAACAGTGCTGGGGAATTGGGGGAAGGGGAACAGACAAGTTGCTGTCGTTTTGTTCTTCAATCTAGTTGTGGAGGATGTTGCTTCACTGGCCCAAGTTGGCACCATCATTGCGCTCTTCTCTGGCGAGGCAGATCAGTCGCCGGCTTCTGGACGGCCGCTCACTGCGGCTGCTGGCCGCTCACGCTGGCTGCTGGCTACACACGGTAGCCCATGGCAATCCACTGCCACAGGGACTGCAGCCCACGCCGTCGCCGGCGACTCAAGGCAGCCCAGCTCCAGGTTGAGCTGTTGTTCAGCATCTTAGCTGTAGAGGGCAGTGTCACTGGCCCTCATATGTGGGATCCGAACCGGGGCCCTCTGGCATCCCAAGCGAGTTCTTAACCATCGCGCCACTCGGCCGGCCCTCCCCCCTTTAATTTTAAACATAATCTTCCCTAGTAAGCTATCAGGAACAAGTAATGGGATTCCAGACTACCAAGGCACTGGAGATGTATATATTCAGTTCATCCGAGCCTGTAACAGCAGAGAGCTTGGAACAAGAGCTGGAGTTGGATGAGGCCAGCACTGCCTTAATCTACCTGTGCGATCTTGTGGACAGCAGAGCCTCTTCAGTACCATTCACTCAACAAACATTTATCAAACATCTTCTGGCTGTGATGGGTGCTCTAAGGATTAAAAATGAGTACACCCTTACACTGTATACCAACTGAAAGTTGGTGAAAATTTATGGAACTGCACATTTATAATATTTGTGCTTTTCTGTAACATACTCCAATTAAGTTTAATGAAATTTAAAAAATGAGTCAATACACCATTCACATCTTCAAGAATGTGAATAGCGTAGTCCCTGTATATATATATATAGTTATGTTATATATAGTTATATATATATAGTCCCTGTATATATATATATTTATGTATATATATATATATATATATATATATATATATATATATATGTAACTAGAGTATCTGAAAAAGCTAAAAGCTATAAATTGGCAGGTCAGCTCAGATTTTTTTCCCTCCTGGTTTTAGGGAGGAGGCAAAGAAACGGCAGCACTCAAGGCAAAACCCATGGGCTGTGGTCTGGTCCCATGATCTTTTTACCATCTGATGAAGCCCCTTAGAATCATCGGGAGGTTCAAGCTAGGTGTAAAACTGAGTTAAGTACAAATAATCAAATGAATCTCCACAACAGCAGGGACAACATCTCCTTTGTTACCTAGTAGCCCTGGTACCTAGGACATTGCTTGGGACCTAGCAGGCTCTCGAACTTGTTTAGTTCAAAGGCACACAGAATCCCTTGTTTTCTAGTCAGTCTCACCCAGAAACAGGAAAAATAACAGCTATCCAATTTCCCTTTAAGCCCAAGGATTTCCTGTCACTTCTTTGTCAAAGCTGTACACATTATTGCCACTATTGCTACCATGTATTAAGTGCCTATTATGTGCCAGTATTTTGAAATTAAATTTAGTATAATTATCACATTAGCCCCAGGAGGGAGGTGTGGCACCGTTACAAATAAACAGGTTCAGGGCCGGCTGAGTGGCGCATTGGTTAAGAACTGGCTTGGGATGCCAGCTCTGAGCAGCAGGGCCCCGGTTCAGATCCCACATTAGTGCCAATGATGCTATGCCCTGCCCTCTATAGCTAAGATGGTGAATAACAGCTCGACCTGGAGCTGGGCTACCGTAAGCCGCTGGCGACAGCGTAAGCTACAGTGAGGCTGCAGTGGGCTGCCATAAAGCTACCGTGAGTGGCCGGCAGCCAGTATGCGCTGCCAAGAGCCGGCGTGAGCGGCCGTCCAGAGGCCGGCGACCGATCTGCCTCGCCCAGGAAGAGCGCAATGATAATACCAACACGGGCCAGTGAAGCGATGTCCTCCACAACTAGACTGAAGAACAAAAGGACAGCAACTTGTCTGTTCCCCTCCCCCAATTCCCCAATTAGAAAACAAACAAAAAAATCTAAAAAAACAAAAAACAACAACAAATAAACAGGTTCAGGCTGAAGGCACAAAAGAAAGTGATGGAGATAAAATTCACTCAGGTCTGTGACTTCCATTCCAATGCTTTCACTGCCTTGTAACACTATTTAGAATGGAAAAGTATGCAATCAAAACTATGATCAATCTCGAGACTATAAAATCTCTCACAAACACATACCACACATACACCACCTTTAGTATGACATAAAATGACCCAACTTTACGAAAAAGGGTACCACTGACAGCAAATGCGTTTTCTTTTTTTTATTGAGATTTTCAAGAGCTGCCATTTGGTTTGTATTGCAAATTTTTTAAAAAGTAACTCCTTGCCATTTTTGATATTTTTATGAAAATTATTTTCAATTCTAAAGCCCTGTCCCTCCCCCAGAGAAGTATTAGTACCTACCATGTCGTGTTTATTTAGAAAAAAAAAAAAAAGAACAAAAACAGCTTTTAAACACTCATGAAACAGATAAATGTCCAAAGTCAGACCCGGGCCTGCTGGAGGTACTGAGCCGCCCCTGGGCACCATCAGCGCTTCACCACCAGCATCAACAGAGATGGGCCATGCACAGACCCTCTGGAGGCCTCTTGTTCCACAAGCTCACCACTCCCTTTCTCCTCTGGACCTCCTCTGCTGGCGGGCAGCCTTCCCTCCAAATCCGCCCAACAAAGGCAGCATGATCGATCGTTAATACAGGTTCAGCTTTGTAAAGGAGACATACTGTATTCAGAAGGTTTAGAGATTCCCCCAGCCAGCCGGGGAGGAAGAAATCTCCAACACAGTACTGATGGTTCATTTTATCGTCCGCTCAAACACATGCTCGTACTTATTAAATTCATTACCAGATGCTTCAAAAGTCCTGACATGTAGGCAGCACAAAAGTTTCATATAAAAATGAAGTTGCAAAATTACTGTAAAAATTTCTGCAGCAGTTGATAGGAGCTTCTGATGACAAAGCTGGCTCTGAAAAGACATGCACAGCAGCTTCCCCTTGAGTCCTACGTTCTGAGTGTTCCTTTAGACCACGGGAGGTTGAAATCGGAGTTTAAAAACTCCTTGCTGACAAAATGTGGTGTATCTGTCAATGGAATGCTATTCAGCAATAAAAAGGAACAACTTACCAACATAAGTAATACGTCATGGATGAGCCTCAAAATATGCTAAGTGACAAAAGCCAGATGCAAGAGACTACATCTTGTATGATTTCACTGATATGACATCCCGAAAAGGCAAATTTACAGACCTGGAAAGATTAGTGTTATGTAGAGCTGGGACCAGCGATTATCATGCAAATGGGCATGAAGGATCCTATGGGGGGCGGGGGGAGATGCAAATTTTCTAAAACTGAGTTATGGATATGGCTGTACCAATCAGAAAGTTACTAATATCACTGGATTAAACACTTGAAATGGGTGAATTTTATGACATGTAGAATATGTCTCAATAAAGTTGTTTAAAGAAAACAGTCCCTGCCTCCCAAAGCACCCATCAACCAGTAACATTTCTGAAGGTTCACAATCAACAGGGCAGGGCTATCATTTAGCATTGAGTTACAGAGTGAAAACACTGTATTTATTGTACAGTAAATTGCCTAGAATTTTTCATTATTTTAAAATAAAAGATAGTAAGAAGGCAGAATTGGTGATGAAAGCTCAGCAAATCTCAAAAACAAAGGCTCCTAGTAACAAAAGCTAAGGGGGCTTTTTCTTTTGGAATAAAAATGGTGCATCTGTTCCTTTGTAGATTTCTCTTCTGCGTCCTGAGGGTAGGGTGGTGAATCTCTTGGCTGACACCCTGTAGAGATCAGTGTACTCAGTCCTCTTATTGCTATAATCCCCCTAAAAACTAAAGTGACTGAGGTCGGCAGTAGGGGGTGGGGCAGAAGGTCAAGGAGCAAGCATTGCCTTGGGTCAGCCTCCTACTGTCCTGTCCCTTGTCACCAATCGCAGCTTCAAGATGGGAGAAATAAAGACAAGACTAAAAACAAAGGGAAAATAAAACTTTCAAAATTGTGACTAGCCAAGTGTATGGATGAAATTCAGATGGCAGCACAGCAGTGGCTGCAAAACGTACTCTGAACTACACAGGGTGGAGGGACCAGGTGAACTAAGGCTCCCAGTGGCAGTGATGGGAGATGATTCACGTGGGAACCATGAGCAGAGGTAGGAGGAGATGAGGGCTCCCAATGCACACCAGATCTGGGTCAACCCTCCTGTCCTCCCCACCCACCTCCCAAACTAATGAGGTTTGCATTATCCCCGAGGAGAGTGCTGGGGAAAATAGTCTTTCCCAATAGGTGGACATCTCCAAATCTTGGTCAAATGTCAGCTCTCTTCTGTCTGTTCCCATACCTCAACATCACCTAAACCAAGAAACTTTATTAACCTGTAATGCTGGGACCCTTATCAAAGAACACATGCCCCCTCCAATCACAGTAGGTAGATTCCTGGGCTCCTGATGTTCCTACACGGTATTTGCAGCAGCACTAATGTAAGAAGAACCGTCAAGCCATTTCCTTTGGCTACTTCTTCACACGACTTTCTTCTCTGACATATAACTGCCAGAGTATTCGACTGATCTTACTTCCCAGCCTCTCCAAAATCAAGACAAAACTCTGACACTGTAGCAATACACAATTTGAAAAAATGCTTAGTATTTCACTAAAAACATTTTTAAAGCCATAGTTAGCATTATAACCTTAATTTAAAAAGATCCCAGCTGTTTTGACTTTGGAAACTAAAGGTACAACCTTTTCTTGATAACCTTTTTTTAGTTTGACCTTATATTATCTCCAAAAGTCATCTGATGCTGCCATCAGAAACTAGCCCAAAGGCCCATAGTTGCAGGTGCATAGGCCTAGAGAAACTGAAAAGGCATTTTCTTTATTTTTATGTTTTTCCCCTTGAAAAGCAAGAAATAAAATAATTTCATCTTGGAGTTTTAGAGTCCACTAATCATAAAAATCAGAACGCAATCACTAATAAACTAACACCGGGACTGGCTAGAATTGGCAACTGTTAAAGTACATATTCCATTTCTATACAAATTTGCAAATTTCCAGTTGTCAGTAAAAAAAAAAAAAGTTTCAACAGAATAGCAACTTAAATTCCACACCAAGGTGATCACTTACAAGTATCAGCCTCACATTTAAAGGGTAAAAGTGTCCAGCCTGGCTTGTACCCAGAACCCCTCCTGTGAGGAAAAGTCTTGAGATAGGCTCCCAGCCTTTCCCCAGTGAAAGTCCAAGAAGAACCACCTATATTTTCTTTCAAGGAGCTGGCAAACTCTATAGCTAAGCCTGGGATCTGGTGACAACTGTGCTCCCACCTCACAACATGAAACGGATGGAGAAAAGAGTTGGGCTACAAGAGGAGCCATTGGAAGCATCAGCCTACACATTAGAAAAGGGGTCACTCTGCGAGCTGTTTCCTGATCCTGGAGTCAGCACACGCTGGGTCTGAACAGGACTGGAAAGTCCAGCTCTCAGGTCCCACTGCTCATTTGGCAGGACGTTCTCTTAGTCCTGACCAAATATGCCTTGTGAAACCATGCTGAAGACTGACATCCAAAATGGAAGCCCACAGCAGATGGGAAGGCAAGCCCTTTGGACTGCACCTAGCATTTTAGCTTGTCTGGGTGTCAAAAGAGCAAGCCTTCTTCAGGATGAAGAAATGGCTCAATTCAGATCCCTGTAGCACTTTCCAGACTGGGAGCCACACAAGAATTCATTGTACCCTTTGTGATGGGGACACCCGCGGTCTAGAAAATGGCTCTTTCTGCAATCCCAACACATTTCCAACAGCTCTAGAATTCGGAGCTTGGACAAGCTAATGGAGACTGAAGGAGAAAAAAGCAGCCCTAGGAGAGAAGAGAGACCTTGATTTCTGTACTATCAAGGTCCTCTCTTTATTACAGGCAACAACCCAAGCTGAAAGCTGAAATAAAGTTTATTTACTCATAGCCCTCCCTGAAAACGAGTCAGAGTTCCATCCTCTTGAGGTAGAGGCTTTGAGAATTAATGTGCAAGTCTGGCAATACAAGCTCCCTAAGCTACTCTTATATGACACGTGGCCTAACAAGGAAGGCCACTTTTCAAATAATGCCATCCTACAGACTCAAATGAGGAAAACATGTGGGTTTGTATTTTAAATATGATCTTAGGCTGTGGCTGTTCATAAAGTCAACAACGGATTCATGAAGAAAAAGGTGAAATTCTTAAGTCTTCCAGACCCGAGTCCTTTCCTTCCCACCTCTGTCCCATATCCACATACAGAATTTACACAGGCTTTATTTCAGGTTACATGATCTTTTCCTGATCGGCCTATCACACAACACAGCAGCGGTCATACGGAAGCCACTGCCCTCAGGCCTCTGCAAGTCCTCATCCTGGACGAATGGACACGCTCTCTGAGACCCCACTCTGCCACCTACATATCTATCACACAAAGGCAGCTCCTGGCACCCAGTATAGTTCCTTATGAGTATAAACGAAAACCCCCTAAGACTTACAGGCAGGAAAGACAAAAGAAAAGTACCCAGAGAGCCCAACCTAGAAAACTTGCAAAGCTGGGCGTGTGGGAATGACAAAATTTTATAACTGCTGAAACTATCTCAGTGAGTCACACAGTCACCTGGGTCAAGTGGGACTCACTCTCCTAGGCCTTTTTTTTTTTTTTTGAGTTCTATTGCATAATTCTGTAAAGCGGAGGAAGCATCCAAATTGTGAAGTGAGCTTTTTGCTAGTGTCCTGAAAAACCTATTTACTTGTAAAAGTGCATAAACCTTTCTAAGGGAAATAAGATACCAAGAGGACCAAGTCTTCACGGGGCTGGAAAACTGAAATAAATTTAAGACACAACTAACAGGATTCAAGGATGACTTCTCCAGGCTGAAGCTGATGGCCAGCACAGCATGCCTCTCAAACACCTTTGGTAATAGTATCTTAAAATCAGAGTAGGGTCGGGGTGGAAAGGGACAGGGGACCAGACACCATGAGAGACAAAAAGGCAAATCCTCCTAGTGCTCTTGTACCTTGTAAAAGATGAGTTTGATGGTATCTGTAAACAGAGGCTTAAGAGTAGGCCTTAACAGTAACTGTATGACTCAAGTGACAATAACCATCACAGTCCTCCCCTTCTGATTTACAACTTTCATCAACCATCAGAAGAGTCACCACAAACCAGTACGGTAAGTCTGTGTTTTCCTGAATGGGGTTCAAGGCAGGAAGACATGGGTAGGCCACTGGTAGTCCCAGTTCATCGCAGGAAACCCCCAGGGGCTGGGGGAGCTGAGCTGTGTACTCTGGTTTGCAACACCTGCTTCTTCCACTAGTCCCTCTTCCCATCCAGCTTAACAGACTCAATGAGTAATTCTCCAGGTGTTCACTGCCCTTGTAAGTATACAGCAGGGTGAGAAGGGCATTTGTCAACACCTAGATTTTCTTGGTCAGCTTATTTTGTTTAAACACTCACAGCAGAACATTCCTGATGAAGGAGGGGGGAAACAAGATGCAATTTCCTTAACTCAAAAACCTAAAAGCTAATAATAATAATAATAATAATAATAATAATAATAATAATAGGAAACTGCTCAAACTGAAAGTCAGTAGAACAAAAGGGAAATACTCAGAGGCTTGTAGAGTAAGACTGAACACATTAGTTACTCCAATCACAGTGTCAAGTTAACCCGCTATTCCCCTTCCCCTCTGTGCATCCCTCGCCCGCCCCACCCCCTCTTTAGCTCTGCCATTTTGTGCAGCACTGTCCCCAGATCTGGGGACATACAAGTCCTCCTCAGAGCTTTTCTGTCAGCTTAGTACTTCACTCCTGGAATAAATTCCTTGGCATCCGGGTTCAGGTTACTTTTGCTCTGAAATAAGAACCAAGAGATAATAAATGCCACGGCAAGCTGCACTTCGAAACATTTTCTTCCTGCTCCCATTATTACCAGTACCTTCCTCTCAGCCTCAAAGAGACAAAAAAAATAGAATTCCTTGCAACTCAGGCTGTTATCACTGGGCTGCTCTCAATAGCTCCTGACATACTAAGCCCTGACCAAACTGATTTTCTCCTTCCTGCTTTGGACTCCTGCTCCCTTCATGATGCTTTCACTAGGGGCTTGCAAGTTGGACTCCACAAATAACGTTTTAATTCATTGAGTACCTTAATTTGATGAAAATCAGAGAATTCCATCAAACCAGTTTGGTTACATCTATCTATTATCTGTCTGTCTATCTATCTATAATATCTTTTTTTTCCCATCTTGCTGTACTCTCTTTGGTTCTCCACTTTCTTGTGAACACCCAACACCTTAGCAAACTGCAGGGCACAATCATTCACAACATGAGTGTGTGAGAACTAAAATCGCAGAATTCCGTCAGTAAACATGGAAGGCAGAGAATTCATTTATGTAGTCTTTCCATTTTAAGCGGAAAATGGCCTTGCAGGAGTATGTGTCTTCCAAAATGAACAGTTTTTATAACAGCATCATTCAAAATTATAAGTACAGGCTTGAGGGATAGTAAAAGAAAAGGATAGCAGTAAATGATCATTCGAAACCAAGCCTTTCCATGTTTAAATTTTTATCCTTCATCCCAATTCTATTTTGAAAGCTCATTGGGGAAAATGAAAGTTGGTGATGCTACAACATTAATGTTTCACAGTGCTTTCTGGGATGAAATGCATCTTCACTGCACCCATTTATTAATGCCCATGTGATGAGTGACAGTGGCCCACAGGGCTCTAGAGACTTGCCCAAGGTTGTAAGGCCAGAAAGAAAATCTGTGACTCCAAATCCCATATTCTTTTCGCCATGTCACATGTGGAACTACATACAGCTCTTACCAAGATGTCTTCAGAATCATGACCATCACTGACAGACAGTCCATTTAACTGTTGTTGCAACTGTCCCATGGCCTGAGGCAGGTCTCGTGATGGAATAAACCAGTCTTGGTCTTCCTCATCCAGCATCTCTTGGAAGCAGCGGTCCAAAAAGTCTTGCTCCTGCAGCTCCTCCTCGACCTAGCAAGCAACGGTGCGGAGCTCAGACATACCGTGCCAGTGGGACTGACTCATCCCTTCCGGGTCTTTCTCCACCTCTTTCTTTCAGAGGTCATCACTCCGCAATTAAGAATGCTCTTGTATGAGATCTACTAGGAGTTGAGACACTTCTAATGACTGGCTGGAGAAAATATAATTTTTAATTTTTTTCAACCAAATCCCATCAACAATAGGATTGAGGAAATAGTTACTCAAAACAGCAGAAATTCCAGGTCTTCACAGATCTTCTAAGATCTCTAAGATATGACACAGGTATTTTCCATACCTATGGCACTTAGAGAAAATCATTTTTAAAGCTTAGCATGTTTTTCTCAACCTTGTTAAGAAGCAACTCTTCTTAAATTTCCCATTTTACAACTATAAAAAAGGTACAGGAACTATGTAACTAGACCACTACCTGGAGAGCGGAGACTAAATCAAAACCAACTCTCAGCGTCTGGCCCACTTTTCTGGTAATGAGGCCTCTAAGGAAGAAAAATACTTTCAGGACCTTAGAAAGAGATAAAGAACACTTTTTTGGCATACTAAATAGAAAACGATGTCATCGATGTAGTATTCTTTCAAAACAAGAAAGAAGATGAATATTTAAACAACTCCATATTTCTTCGATTGCCCTAAACTAAAGCAGTATACACCTGGGATTTTATACCCATTTGCAGAAATTGTTACCTCTTATGAAAGAGTCCGATTCACTCCGCAGACGATTTTTAACAGGTCTCCTGCTTCACATTTGGCCAATCCTTTTCCTGCAGGCTGCCTGGTGACAGTCACAGCTCACTCATGCCACCACCAGAGGGGGTCAGGCAAAAAGGATCACCCAAACTAGCTAATACAGATAACCTCATGCATTCAAAGGACAAGTCACTGGTAGCAAGACTTGAAAATAGTACTTCAACATTAACATTAACCACACTTTTTTTTTTTTGAGATCTTGGGTAAATTTATGAAATACTTAAAATAATAATAACCACAAAATATTTTCAAGTCACAAGATTTACCATGACTGCTAAAGAGCTGCACTGCCTCTCTCCAAGAGTGTAACCGTGTGCTCCCCCTTATTAAATCTACTCTTATTCACAGGCACAATCCTCAAAAATGGTTATCTGGGCACAGGGGTGTGACAGAAGCATGGTTTATGTGCTACTCACACAAATCACGACACAGTGAGCCACATGGAAGTTGAAATTGCTGGCTGCCCTCACCCCCACCCCCCAGTTTGTTTTCTTTTTCCCACAGCACCAGGCTGTTCAGTTAAAACCGTATTTCCCATCTCCCATGCTGGATATGGCCATATAACTATTCATCATGTAATGTCCCCATGTAATGAGCACTTTGCATCACTTGGTTAAAAGGAGATCCCTTGCCTCGGCCTTCAGTTCTCTCCCTTTCCCAGTGGCTAGACTTCTGGTTTTCCTTCAGCTGCTCAGCTCATAAATGCCCTGGGGTGGCAGAGCAACACCATGGAAGGGACTGGTGGTTGCACCTTGGGCCAAACAGAGATAGAAGACAATGCATTACTGCTGAATCTTTGTTGAAGCAGTCTAGCCTCCCCCCACCTAACACCCTTCTCTATCAGGCTCATATCTTGCCAGCCCCTGAGTTCCTATCGGGGGCATGCCAGGCTGGCCTGTCTGCACAGAGCTGCTGTTTCCCAGAAGTCTACACCAGATCACCATGACATTAGATCCTCTTTTAATCCATGTGGAGGAAAAATATCAGTATCTTCCCCCAAAGTACTGTCTGGTCTCTTACCAGTTGAACATACTTCTTGGTCAGCTCAATATTTTAAAACAGCATCATTCAAAACTATAAATACAGGTTTGAGGGATAGTAAAAGAAAAGGATAGCATCAAATGATAATTTGAAACCAAACCTTTCCATGTTTAAATTTTTATCCGTCACCCCAATTCTACTTTGAAAGCCCATTGGGGAACGTGGAAGTTGGCCTCCATGTGTTTTTAAGTTGCTCTAAAGCCAGCAAATCCATTTCTTTTGTAACAGGCTGACAGTAAAATATTGGGCTGTCGGAAAAGTAATGACGCATTTTTGCAACGAAAAACATAGACAAAAGACGTCATGACTTTTCCGACAACCCAATATTATAGCTTTGAGTTTCACATATCATTGTCCTTCCACTTCTTTTTTACCTGTCTGTTGAAATCTTCTTCATTCTCCATCCACATATACTCTGCAAACGGGTTTTCCTTCTCATCATGCCCATTTAACCCTTGGTCCTCTTTGGATTTTACACTGGGTGATGTATTCGCCACACTGGATCCATTCATTATGATAGAACCTAAACAGAAGCAAGAGAAAGGATAAAATGTTACAAGGATCAAGGAAGTGAAAATCTGTATGATCCAGATTCTTCCAGAAGCTTTAGAAGTCTTAAATCAAAGTTATTAACTATAGATGAACAGAAATTGCTAGTCTGTACCTGTTATAAAACTAACCATATCCTGCAGTTATCAACTATACAGATGTAAAATTCTTTTAAGAATTAAAAATTTTAAAAATGTCTAGGGTTAGTTAGCCTTTCTAAGCAAGTGGGGTGGAAACTTTTCAAGGCAATTTCTGTAGGTTCTAGAACCTAATCAAAATCACATGGTTACACTAACATTTAACTAGGTAAAGAAAAAGTATTCTTTTTTTTTTTTTTAGCTGAGCCGTCCTGCCACCTGTTGGCAGCTCAGCGGCTGCTCAGCTTGGGCCGGGAATCAAACCGCTGTTGCTCAGAGCTCAAACTCTTGAGCGAGCTCTTAACCAACTGAGCCACTTGGCCGGCCCGGAAAATGTATTCTTAATGAACATTGTTAAGTAACTGCCCCTCATTCTGATTCTCAAGCTTGTTTTTCTTCAGAATATATTTCAAAAAATAATGCATATTCATTGTAGTGATAAGTAAAAAGGAGAAAATTAAGGTCATCAGTGGTCCAACCAATCAGAGTTAAGAATGATTAACAATATGGTGCATATAGCCTTCCTGACTTCCCCAGTATATGCGCCTTTTCTCATTTCTATGTTAATATAGCCTACTGTCTTGGGGGGTGTTTTCAATGTTTCTGTATTATAAAGGTTCTTTAATATTCCAAATCCAGCTCCACAATAACTCCAAAAAGCTATACACGGAGGAAACCAGTTCTTTATTTTTACCATTTCCATTTGCAGCATAACAATGACAGAAGCAAGTCTGCTCTAAATGCCAGGGCAACTGCATGAGGAAGGGGACTCTTCCTCAGCACAGAAACTCTTAAAGGTCCGGCTCTTTGCTGGGTAGCAGGTTATATAGTATCACATCTCCAAGGGCTCATTTCGCAGTTGTTTAAAACCAGCACAGTGATTTGTTCTTATCGATATGGAAATCATCCACAGAGAATCAGAGTTCAGTTTTCTAAAACATCTGCTTTTGCCCAAAAAAATGAATCCCAAGTGCACATGACCACAAGAAAAGAGGGAAGGCAGAGGAAGAAAGAACAGAATAAGCCTCCTAATTCAAGAGCAGGGCGGAGCAGAGATCAAATTGCAGGACTCGCATTCATGAGCAAGGGGATGGAAAATTACCATAATCTCAATATGGCAATGTTACCCAATTTAACGTAAACACTTTAGAGAAGTTGAAAACTCTGAGATATGGGGCAGCCGATACTAGGAGAGTGGTTCCCTTACAGTAGACAATACAGTGTTTTATTTTATACCAGCCTACCTGTGTTTTCCACACAATTGGAAAAGCTTGGTTTCTCTAAATAGCAGAAATTCAACAACTTAATTTGTATAGTGTTTAACAATTTATAAAGTACTTTCGCATCCATGTTCTGACTTAAGGCACATAATCTGTCCAGCCTCACTTTAAAAAACCATCCAGGCAGTGCTAGAATAAGACCAAATGAGGTACCAGATTTAGGGGTTAAGCAACCTGATTTTCTGGGTTAGTTCAAGAACAACAGTGGTTTGTGGGCCTACTGAGTGACGGTGAACTGGCGCTTCATATGCCCCTGGGACTTGAGTAGAGGGGTGGGAATGGGGAGAATTTGATGGAGACTGGTAGCTACTTGGTAAGGCTTTGGGGGAATACCTTCCCACTTGGAGAAGACACCAGATGAGACAGGATCACTGCCCCTAACTTCCCTGCTTCTAGAGTTTCATGTAACATCGTCTTTCTGTCCCCAGCTCCTCTCCAGCTGGCCAGCCACCAGGCTTGCCCTCTGAGAGCAGTGTTTCTCTAACCATCCTATTTTGATCTTTCACGTTCATTATTTCACTTGATCCTCATCCATACCAAGGCACATCATTAGGATACTATAGTGTAGTGGGGACAAAGAAAATACCCCCAAAGCTTCCAGAGATGGGGAAAATGCTTGGTTACGTAAGTAGGAACACAAATCGGAATGGCTGCCATGTCGTCAGCCATAATATGGAGAGGCCCATGTGACAAGGAATTGAGTCCTGTTAACAAACATGTGAGTGAGCTTAGAAGTTCATCTTCCCCCAATCAAGCCTTCAGATGAGACGGCTGTCCCAGCTGACAGCCTGACTGTCACTTAATGAGGGACTCTGAGGTAGAGGCACCCAGCTAAGTAGCGCCCAGATTCCTGGCCCACAGAAACTGTGAGATAATAAATGCTTGTTGTTTCAACCTGCTAAGCTTTGGGGTAAGTTGTTACATAATAACAGATAACTAATACAGGTATTCAATAAACAATCACAACTAGCTCTGCCACACAAACTACCAGTTGCCACATCTTTCCTCTTATGGGGAGGGCAAAGGTGCAGTTTGGAGTAGGTCATTGCTTGAGCAATTCTTCAGAATTCGTCTTCAACAGTAGACAAAGGAGTTTGTGTCTGGTCTGTGTTTATATTACATTATGAAATCTAAGAACTATTTGAAACTTATTCTCCCTCCAGCTTACTTTCCCTTATATACATGGCAAACATGCTGAAAATGGAAAATAACAATCATCATTTTGGTTGAAAACGGGAAAGCACGTAGCCCTAGTCATAGTCAAAATAGAAGTGCTAACGCCTGCCAAGCATATGATTTAGCATTTTACTATGGTCAAGTGTTCATGTCTGAAATGTCTGGCTTGAAATAGGGGCCTTGGTGCCCAGCCACAAAGAACTTCAAGACTTTTAATGTATCTAGGATATTTCTAGAATACATGTTTCATCAGTTCAACTTTGAACACCCACAACTTTCAGATCCAACGGGCTCATAGCAAAAACTAGCTATTCTTTAAACCTAAATCAGATTTGGGACTTTTGACTAAATTACCCGGAAAAAGTCTATTAAGCAGTAGATATAAAAACTAGTCTGTACTATTCTGTTTCCTACAGTGTTGTTAACTTTAGTCTGGTTAATGCCATTTTTTAAGTTAAATATTGTGGATAATAGCTTTAAATTTTATTTTACTTCAAATATACTCCCACTAGATTCAGCTTTTGTCCATTCTGAGTATATCTAGTAGATGCACTCGCTCATTCATATCCAAGTATCTGTTTCTCCTACACACTGTGCTTTGACAGGCTACATAGGCCTTGCCCTGGTCATCTTTACATTCTCACAGGGGAGAGACAAGCAGATAATTAAGAATAATTATGATCCCTGTTATAAAAGGAAGGGTAAAAGGGTCTATTAGAAAACAATAGGCGGATCCAATTAAGTCCAGGAGTGGAGAATGGTTAGGAAAGGTTTCCCTGAGCAAGCAACACTTACCCTGATACCTCGAGAAGAGATATGAGAGTGAACGCCAAAGAGAGGCGGTGTGACTTGCAGGTGATGGGAAGTATTAGATGATTCTTTCAAAGAGTCCAGCTGCCTAGGAACGGGACAGGAATGGACAGAACCTGGAGGGGTGAGAGGTCCCTGGAAACTTCATTTTTAAAGACTGGAGAGTCTAGAGCATGTTTCAGTGTTCACAGAAAGGGTCTAGTGAAGAGGGAAAGGCTACAAATACAGGAGAAGGAAGGAATAACTGAGAGTATTGGCCATGGGAGGGCAAGGAGGGGATACTTATTTGTTGATTTTTGAATAGCTAATACATTCCTATGATTCAAAATCGAAATGCCTGGGATTCTTAATTAGTAATATCAATAGTTACATGGTGAGCATGATGTCAGAGCTGAGGGGAGAAGAGAGAGAGAGAGAGAGAGAGAGAGAGAGAGAGAGAGAGAGAGAGAGAGAGA